CCTACCTCGTTCAGGTATTTTGAAGATTAAATGAGTTAACATGTATAATATTACATTACTGTGTAGGGATCACATAGGACAGTGGCTGGCATTTGGTAAATGCTGAGTGAATGTTAGGTGGGGGTGGTGTTATTGGGTCACCTGCCAGTGAACAGCTGAGGAGGCTGTCCTGCTGCCTGGAAAGGCCTCTCACTGGTCCAAATTTTCTCCATCTCCGAAGGCCCCGTTCCTTCTCAGAGGAACCTCCCTGTCCATCCAATTTGAAGTAGCCATTCTTTCCCACGGCCCCTTTCTCTTCACCGTCAGAGCCCTTTTCATAATTGTTATCACCTGTGACTTCGTGCACCCTCATTCAAGCGCTGTGTCCCCACCAGCCTGTGGGTGCCATGCTGGCGGTCTGTGGGTTCACCATGGCCTGCGGTGCCTTGTGTACGGACACACATTACAGTGTTGGATGCAGGACTTCACGAAGCCGTCTCCTTCTTCAGTGCTTGTGGGCCACATGCTTGGCACCTTGCTTGCCTGGTTCTGGTGGCTTCCCACTGGTGAGGTGTAGCCAGGTGGCCAAGAACTTGGGCCGAGGACTCAGACGAACTAGGGTTCCAATCTTGGCTAACCACTACTGACTGTGTGATGGAGGGAAACTTACCTAACTTCTCTGAGCCTCAACTTCCTCACCTGTCAGTGGTGAGAATACTGCCCAGTGGACAGCTTATAAGTTATTAACACAGTTCCTGGAACTTAGCATGTACCACTAGAGGTGACTGTCATCCTCCTCATTCCTAAGGAGACAGCCATCCACCTGTCATCGTGGCGCTGGTAATAATTGCCTCAATTTCCCTGCCCCCACCTGCAGTAGAGTCGCATCTTGTGTTAGCGGGGATCACAGAGAGAACATGTTAATGAATGATTTGGTTGAACTCAAAGGAATCGTTCAGGTCCTCAGATTGCTTACCTTTGAATAGAGAAGGTGGCAGGTGTGTGAGCACATGCTTTTTTTAATATCATTCACGCATTCCTAGGTAACTACAGGAGAAGGGAATTGACCGTTGTTTCCATTTGGAGGGCCTGAGCCTCGGGTAGTGTACGAGGCCTCTGCAGGTAGCGTGGGCGTGGGGCATCAAGAGCAGAGCTGCTAGCACCTGGGGGCCCAGGTCTCTGTTTTCAACAGGTGTGAGGAGTTGAGGACAGTGGCGGAGGTTGGGGGGAGCTTAAGGGAAAGACAGGATTTCCAGACAGAGAACGTTGCAGTCATTTAACATTCAAGTCCTAAATAATGTAGGCTTTTGTTATCAACAGAACAGACTAGAGTTCTGGTTCTATTTGAGGATCTCCCGAGAAGAAGAGGAAAAGAGGGTCAGAAAACCTGTACAGGGATATAAAGAAGGAGATTAGTTCCCAGGAGATGGCACATTCAAAGCCTGGTGGGGTGTTTGGGAGCCAGCTCTCCTCTGAGCTCCTTGTGGGCATTTTCGTCTTTCAGAAAAAGCAGTTGTTTTTCTGAACCTGAAAAAAACCCGTTTTTTTTAAAAGGTTTAAACGGTAGAAGAAATCATGTATATAAAATCACTTTTGTCACCTGAAGCTTTATATTTCTGAGAGCAATTCCACTCATGTCCTCGTAGTGCTTTGTGGTGTTCAAGGCACTTTACTTTCTCAGTCACACCTTATTCCTTATTCCAACAACCTTGCAGGAAGCTACTATTATTATTAGTAGTATTTCTGTTTGACAGATGGAGACATTGAGTCCCAGAGAGGCTGGGCAACTTGCCCAGGGTCATGTGAATAGAAAGTGGAAGAGCCAGTAGTTTTTCCCCTGCATGTCAGGCCATTAATAATCCTGTTAATACTGTTCATTGTTGGTATTGGGTTAATTTAAGTAGAAATGACGGTCAAGACACCCAGTGGCTTTCTGGATGGTACCAGAGGTGGAAGCAGTGGCCTTTCTGTCCCTCATAAAGCCACTTGTGACTCAATCCTCCAGTAACTAGGAGGGAAGAAAACTAGCTCCTCCCCCAGTGCAGCCCCAAGTAGCCATGTAGACACTCCACCCTTGCTGACTGCCCAAGCTTCTCGAGCAGCCCTCCTCTGCACAGCCATCTCCCACACTTGGAAGGACTTATGTAAGTAGGTGGACTCTACTCTGTCTTCTTCCCGGGGAGGAGTTGAGTGCCCGCAGGGGGTCACGTTCTGCAAGGTGGAGAAACATTATCTTTAGATACCACCCATGTTTGTATTCACAGGAGGGTATGCAAGATTAAGTGACCTTTACTCTGGAATGCTAATCTCCTTATTTGTATATCCTCCACTATCACCCTATGAGGTAGGTGCTGTTATTTCCCCCTTGTTAGGTGAGTCACCTGAGGTTTAGTAACTTGCCCAAGAACACATGGAGTGTCTACGTGGCTACTTGGGGCCACACTGGGGGAGGAGCTGGTTTTCCACTCTCCAGCCATCTGTTCATTCATCCATTCAACCATCCATTTTTCCATCCATCCATCCATCTACCCATCCATCCACCTACCCACCTATCACTGTGTTGGCTGTTTGTCTAACATGGTTTTCTGCTTTATTCTGGGGAAGAAGGTTCTCCATTCTGGGAGCCAAGCACATGCTTTCTGAAGCTGGAGACCTCCACGCCAACACGCATCCCTTAGCTCATAGCCCTTAGACATTTCTGGGCTTCCTCCTGACACTCCTAGGTTGGTCTTCTCAGGGATGCTGCTATTTCCAGCAGTGCCATGTTGCTTGTTCACTTTCCTCCCTCCGTTAACTTGCAGAGGGTTTCCCCCTTCAAAGTCCTACAAATGTGCAAAGCTGCAGGCTCCTGCAGAGACACTTTTGACTTTCTGCAGCATTATCACAAATGAATACCCAGCTAGTCCCATTCCTTGATTCAGAGATTGGAAGTTGGATTCGTTTGGCGTGATTTTACTTTTTCAAGCTATTATAGAGTTTGTGTGATACATCTAAAAATTATGTAATAAATCTAAAACATGTTTACAGAGCATTTTATAAGGAAAGAAATTTTCATAGAAATAGGCCAATTTGATTTCAGATGGATCAATTAAGGAAACAATTTAAATTGTCTATGAGGAAGCAGTATTATAAAGAGGCAATATGGCCTAGCTGTTTAGACATTTATTAAGTGCAAAGCAATGAAAGTTGTTTAATTATTTTGCATAGCTTCTGTTGTATATAGATCATTGGGAGATAATCTCACTTTTCAAAAATTTTTATTATGGAAAAATTTAGACACATAAAAATTCCAACATGCAGGCATAAACAGTTGTATAATGAACCCACATTTACGTATTACCCATCTTTAACAATTATCACCTATAACTGTAACTGCTTCTCCCCTCTCATATTGTTTTTTTTTTCCATGAGTTTCGAGGGCATATTCCTCACTTATTACTTCATTTCACTGGGTCGAATTCCATCCTAGAAAAGTATATTATCTTGACATTAAAATATAGTAAACTTTTGAATATAATTGTTTACTTTTTCATTGAAATTTAGCTCTTTTTTGGGTAGAGCACTGGAAATTTTCTGTCAGTTTTTTTAAATTAAAAATTTCACATGTATAGCAAAGTTGAGAGAATAATAAGTGAAGCCTCACACACCCTTCACCCCGATTCACCAGTTATTAGCCTTCGGACTGGCATTTTCTAAGTGTGTTTTTTCCATGTCTTGTTGAAGATGAGAGATTTACTTACTTTTGAAGGTACATAGATAGGAGTTACATGGCTCGAAAACCAGATATACGTTCACATCTACCTCTACCACCTCTTAGCCCTGCCTTGTAGGCAGCTTGCGTCATACTTAATCCCTCATCTATCAAATCGGAGCATTAATAATGTACACCCTGTGGGGTTATGCAAGGTACATAATAGGCGCTCAAAAAATGTCACCCTTACCTCGCAGCTGTACCCCCTGTGTTGCAGCTGGGGGAGCCGAATAGGGGGATATTGGGCTTCATTGATTCAAGTCGGTTTTGGCCAATATGGAAGATTTTTATAGTTGAGAGAGAGTTGGTATGGCGTAATGATTAAGAAAAAAAAAACTCGGGGTGAGAGTGGTTGAAATCCCAGCTCTGCTTTTACCAGCTTGGAGCTTGGTTGAGAGACAGTCTCTCAGCCCCACTTCCCTCTCTGTAAAGTGGGGATAGGAAGGACACCTACTGCATCGGCTTGTTGTCTGGAGAAAATGAAATGGGACCATCCGTGGCCAGCATTTAGTAGCGTCTGCCTCACACATGCCCAGCGAATATTACTAATCACGTTGTGAGTAAGGATACGTTTAGAAGAGTGCCTATAATGTAAACGCTCAGTGTTACTTATTATTATAAGTAACGGTGAAAAACGCACACCAAATTGGTCTTTAAAAGTCTGATTCGACTTCGGTGCAATGAAAGGAATATAGATCTTCAGTGAACGCTTGCAATGTGATTTCGAGTAAGAGTAAGCCTTGGATGGACGGGGTCGATGCAGCCAGGCAGGTGTGGCATCGTGCGGTTGTCATGGGAAACAACGATGGTTGTTGTTCACCGCCAGTTCCCTTCAGCGATGTCCTAAAATAAACCAGCCTTCTTGAAGGCTCCTGGGAGGGTCAGCTTCCTGCCTCGGGAGCAGCTCGCCCTATGGCCAGGGCGGATGCATCTATCCCAAGGGCTCTGCGTTGTTCTTGTGTTCTGGGACTGATTTTTCTTTTTTCCTTCTGTCTCTCTGTCTCTTTCCTGATTCTCCTCTTGCATCCCAGGTTGAAAGGATTGTAGACAAGAGGAAGAACAAGAAGGGAAAATGGGAGTATCTGATCCGGTGGAAAGGCTACGGGAGCACGGAGGACACGTGGGAGCCCGAGCACCACCTGCTGCACTGCGAGGAGTTCATTGATGAGTTCAATGGGCTGCACCTGGCCAAGGACAAAAGGCTCAAGTCAGGGAAGCAGTCCGGCGCCTCCAAGCTTCTGCGGGACGGCCGAGGCCCCTCGGTCGAGAAACTGTCCCACAGACCCTCGGAATCCGGCAAGAGCAAAGGGACTTCCCATAAACGGAAGCGGATCAACCCTTCCCTGTCCAAGCCGAAAAAAGGGTATCCGGCCAAGCCCCCTGCAGGCGGGGACAGGGCCACCAAGACGGTGTCTTACAGGACTACCCCCAGTGGCTTGCAAATAATGCCCCTGAAAAAGGCGCAGAATGGGATGGAAAACGGGGACGCCGGCTCCGAGAAGGAAGAGAGGCATTTTGGAAACGGGTCCCACCAGCCCGGCTTGGATTTGAATGACGTGGGTGAGCAGGACCTGGGCGACTGCCACGTGAGCCCCGCGGCGCTGGCGGAGAACGGACTCGGTACGTGGCTGGTCTTCCTCTCGGATGGGGCTTTGCGGGCAGCCTAGGGAAACACACTGCCCCCACCCCAGCCCTGACCCTCAGCCAGGCAGTAATTGTCCCTTTGTCTCTTTCACCTAGGGCACTGTGGGCTCGCTCACGTGCCTGCACTGGTTACAGACACCTATGCGTGGCGGGGGGGGGGGGTGGTGCGGGGCCCAGCCACTGATGCTCCAGCCAAGGCTTGTCCCGCGTCGGAAATCCCTGGTTGTGCTTAAAGGCACCTGAAGCCATGGTAACCGCTCTGGAGCCCCTGCTCTGAGGGCGACTCAGAGTCTTCACCCATCAGGACCCGAGACTCATATCCCCACAGGACCAGTACCTTTCAGAGGCCGCATGTACCTCCCAGAGCCCTTGCTTCCATTCTCCTGCCGTCAGCGCTGTAGCCCGGAGAGGCGAGGTCTGGGCCAGGCTCTGCTGCTTCTCAGTTTGGACTTGGAATTCTCCCAGCTGGTCCTTAAGCTGGAGCCTCCTGCCTCTCATCTCTCACTAACATGCATGATCTGGCCCCATGTCTGTGTTAGGTCCTAAATGCTGCCCCGACCCCCTCCTAGGCCAGTTCTTTTGCTTTGTACCTTCTTGTCACCTCCCGCAAGCAACACAGCATTCAGGAATCCCTCCCTCTGACCAAGTCCCCACAAGCAAAATTAAGGAGAGAGGAGGCGATGACCCAGGTAATTCAAGCTCCCAAATCTGACATCTCCTCAACAGAGTGCTCAGTGGCTGAGTCTTCCAGGTGAGCCGTCTGCACCTGTTACCTGTGTTCCTTCATTTCTCAGGTACCCGTGTGTCCACGTGGTGCATTTGTCTCTTTAGCTGCCAGAACTCTAAGCCTTGGGATGTCAGGAAATCCTGCTCGAGTGTGGACAACCCATGCCCAACAGAGTAGGGCCACCCGTTGCCCTGGATGGAACCAGAGTGCGTGTGGGAATAGGGGTGCCGGGACGCAGGTGGGACGGGTTGGGAGAGTTTCCGGAAGGATGGGGTGACAGAGGCAGATGCACGTTAGAGGGGTGATGATTTCAGAGTTCAGGGTGCTCAGGGCGTGCCCGGCTGGGGAGAACGTGGCGTCTGTAGGCATTCTTGCCAGGGAATCTGAGCGATCCGCTTTGAGGTTCCTCATTCTCCAGAGAGAGGAATTTCACCCAAAGAGGATTTATTTAGCAGTCTCTGCCCCAGACTGACTCATGTTTCCGTCTGGGGATCCCTGATGCTGACATGACTCTGCCTGCTAACATACGGAAAAGCTGTTTGTTTTAAAAATCCATTTCTTGGGGAGGAGTGGGCTTGTGTAAATGAGGCCTGGCACAAACATTGGTGTTCGACGTTCCTGTGACAGCAGCGGAGGGATTCCCTGTCTCTGGAAGGGGGGCTTGTGAGGCTCCTTGGGTGCAGGCTCAAGGAACTTGGGTGTGATTGCTGGCACCCCGGCCGGGAGCAGCCCTCTACCCTGCTCAAGATGTGGCTGCCCTGAGAGTGGGGGGATGGGAACGTGGGCAGGGAAGTGTGCTGACTCTAGCTGCCACACTGCAGGGCCGAGAGGGAAGGCAGACCTGTAGAGAAGTTTCAACGAAGGCATGCTTCTCCTTCCATGCCCTTTTCCAGAGCGGGGCAGGGCTGCTAGCTGTGCGCAACCTGTCCTTGGGCCTCATCGATACCGCCCGGTTCACGATCTGGTGATGGAGCATGGTTCCCCATGACCCGGGGAAACAGATGAGAATGAGCCTGCTGGCCTCAGTGGTGGCCTTGTTAACCTCGAGTGCTTCCCCAGGTCTTTCTTGTCTTTGATCTCTTCTTGGCCTTATTTTTTCCCGATGTTGAATGTTCTCTACTCCACTCTGGCCCATGCCTGGACAGAGGGGAGGAAGCCACCTGCCTCTCTTTTGTTTGGTTTTGGGTGTTCCCAAAGGGCCCTTTTGTTTACTCGCATCCCACAATATTGGTGTCCTTGAGGGTCTCATAAGCCTAAGGCAGTGGTTCTCAACTTCATGTGTGTAAGATTCCCTGGTGCTTGGTTAAAATGCAAATCCTGTAGAATCTGATTTACTAAGTCTGGGGTGGAGCCCAGAAGATGGGTTTTTAACAAGCGCCCTAGGTGGCTCTCATGCATTTGGGGACCTGCTCTGTGGCAAAATGGGGTGATAATTACGTTTCATATCAGGTGTCAATTTAAGTCAATTCAATACTTCTTTTGTTCTTCCTGAGAGTTAATCACCACGCTAGGTGCTTGGAGTAAAGTAATAAAAAGATAGGTAAGGACTGCACCCTCTGCAACTTACAGTCTGCTCTCTGCTGGGTTGAGAGTGGGTGTCTCTGGGTCATTGTTGAGAAGACTCCTGAGGCTGACTCACTGGAAGGAGTAACACGTATGTTACGTAGATGGTATGCCTTTCCATATCTGCGTGACATCTTCTGTGGTCACTGGGGTGATAAATGCCCCAGCCCTGGTCAGCTTTTAACACTCTAGTTAGAAATAGCATAATATCCAGGTCTTGGAGTAACTGGGAAGAGGAAAAGACTGAGAATCCTTGCCAGAGAGAGAGAGAGAGAGAGAGAGGAGAGAAAGGTTTGGGGTTCTTGGAGAAGACCCAAGACAGAGGGAGTTGTGTCGTTCCAGAACTTGCCAGCCAGGGGTCAGAGGCATAGTCAAGCACAACATGACTCCACTTATGTTTTCAGCCCGAGGGAAGCCTTGATGCAGCCAGTGTCCATGCCCATGCAGACCCTGAATGTTTTCCTACCCGCCCTCCGCAGCCCCACCTTCTCTGACCACTGCCACCAAGGATCCAGATCCCAGTGGCACAAGGGTGAGGTAGCAGGGTTTTCAGCACGGAGGGGGCCTCATCTTTGCCTTGCAGAAGGGGACGGGGAGATCCTGGCTACGCTTTCCCAGCATTTGTTTTGGGGGTGGGCTGTTGCTTTTTATATGATTTCAACTTCTCTTTGGTGAATTAAGGTTCTGCATACAGAAAAGCAACTTATGTAACACGTTACTCATTTACTGCTGACTTCCGCGATCTGAGCTGTGGGAACAGGTGCTAAATTGGGGCTCCAGCGGGTGGTGCTTTGGTTTCAGACAGCATTTTCCCCAGCAATGTTTGTGAAGCGCGTGCAGCGACTCAGTGCCGCTTTTGCTTCTGATTCTTCTCCCATAATGACAAATGGCTCTGTGGTCCGGGTACCATCTGCCTCAGTATCCCTTCGGGAGCTTGTTAAAAGTGGGCTCTACCCCAGTCAAATGAATCTCAGGGGGCAGGGTGTGGATTGTGTCTCTTAAATGCTGAATTTTAACTTCCATGATATATACAGTAGTTCCTGCATAAGCGTTTGGTTGTAAGTGATGGGTGGTTCATAGATCCCATCCTTTGTTGGTAGATCGAGTTACTCCTTCGGTTTTAAGCTTGTAAGTGGGAGTGTGATTTAGTCCTTTAAACATTTAAAACCTGATATAATTTCTCCTTCTTGCTAATGCACTGTCTACCAGGCATCCCTCTCTCTCGCTTTTTTTTTTCTCCTAAAACAGACCTGTTTCATCCATATAGAAAAACCGTGAGGTTAGTGAACTCCTGCTGTGGTCTGGTCTAGAACTGGTTAGTTCTGTTTCATCAGAATAGGCCAAAGCAACAGTATTTGACAGATTCAGATGAGCCTTTAACCTGTGGACACACCCCTGCCTAGGAGCAAACTCTGAGCCCCAGCGCAACACACAGACGCCCAGCGTTTTCCGAATTTCCATGAAGCCAGTGAGTTTCCACTTTGATGCTGACCCGGTGACCCCGTGTTCACAGTTCCTTGAATTTTGAGAATCATCGTCCTTGTTTTCTGATGAGTGTTGTCTGTGGCCCAGGCGCTGCATCTCAGACACCGCCTGATTCAGTGTTTTCAGAATTGTTCCTATCACTGAGTGAGTCATCCCACACAAACGTGCAACACTTGCCATCGTCTCTCCATTGATCTTTTAAAATTATCTCAGCTTTCACTTCTCTCATGTTTGTTTATCTCCTCCTACTCACTCTATCAACACGATGATCGTTTTCCTTTTATTGATCATAATGGAGTAACCATGTTTTAAAAGCACTTCAGAACGAAGCGTGAACATGGGAGATGCCCTATGACTTTCGAGAACCTCGGGCTCTCAGACATGGAGCCGGCATCAGAATCCACTGGCGGGTATGTTAAAACACAGATTACTGTGCCAACCCCCAGAGTTTCTGATTTAGTAGGTATGGAGCAGAGCCTGAAAATCTGCATTGCTAGCAAGTTACCAGATGCTGCCACTGCGCCAGGGACCCTGCTTTCAGAACTGCTCTCTGCTCTAGACGAATAAGCACCAAGGTGGTTGGGACAAAAATGACAGACAGTGGTTGGGAACACCAGTTGGTGGTACTGGGGAGAGTTGAAGCCCTTTTGCTCTGGTCCTTGAGTTTGCATTCCTGAGAATTCGTAAGTTGAAAGTTTGTGAAATGAAGTTGTTAAGTGGAAGTCTTATTGCATGGGAACTTCCCTGTTAGGCCTTGGAGTTTACAAAGAGTCCTTTGGTGACCCTCTCAGTGCTAACCGGCAGCTGTTAGGAGACTACCCATTTTTTGGAGGAGGAGACTGAAGTTACAAGGGTCCAGGTTGGGACTAGGAGAGAAACCCAGGCAGTTCGGCTCCAGTGATGGTCCCTAGATCACTGCTCAGCTGGCTCCCAGGCAGTACAAGGCAGTTCCTGATCCCTGATAAAAATATGCCCTGACTGAACTCTGCTCAACGTTATGTGGCAGCCTGGATGCCGGGGGGGGGGGGGAGTGTGGAGGAGAATGGATACATGCATATGTATGGCTGAGTCTCTTTGCTGTGCACCTGAAACTATCACAGCGTTGTTCATCAGCTATACTCCAATGTAAAATAAAATTGAAAAACAATATGCCCTGATTGAGGGACCCCCCAGAGTGCTCGTGGGGCAGAAGCCACTTGGA